CCCTTATTGTTTGTCAGACAAACTAGCAATTGCTCATAACCAGAGACGTGTCGGGAGCCCTTCGTGTGCCAAGCACCAGCTTTGGGGCTGACTTCATCCCATTCGGAGCTCACCCTCACCCAGCGGGGTGGGAACTGGATCAACCCCATTCTGCAGATGTGGAAACAGAGGCTCAGAAAAGACTTTAAAACAAGGTTTGGTAAATGACGCCAGGCCCGTGAGCCAGATTTAGCAAGTGGCTTATGTATCTCGGTATTGCCCGTGACAGCTTTCATGACACGGTGGTGGGGTTGGGCAGCTGAGAGAGACTGGCAGGCCTGTTAAAACCAAAATTTGTGACCTTCCTGGTGGCACAGGGGTTAAAGTCTCAGTACTATCAAGCCACCCCCAGCCACTGTGGCAGGAGTTTGGTTCCTGGCTAGGGAGCTGACTCACAGGGCGCAGCAGACCTCTCCTGTCTCCCCCGCTTCCCTCAGCAGTGGATTTCAGCTGATCCACCTGTTCTTCTCCCTGCTCTGTCTCTGTCACTCTGGTGAATCCTCTCACCCCGCCAACCCCCCCAGACCTGGTCTATCCCCCAGTTCATGTATGCAAAAATCAATAAAATAAATAAATCTATAATAAGAAATGACATGCTATTTTGGAAGTATCGGAAGAGTCCTTTGCAGGAAAAGCTTGTGGACCTCTGCTCTAGAAAATGGCAGAAGCAGGTTTGAATCGGGTCTGTCTGGATCCACAGCACTTAACTGCTATGTTATCCTGGTATTGTCGAGGTGTCACTGTACTGGGGTCACAGCAGTGTCTAGAAAGCCATTTTCTTGTCCTTTCAAGTGTAGATAAACACCCCTTCCCTCTTCGAAGATAGGAGGGCAAGCAGAAGGGGCTTTGGGGGACCTGACAACCCTCAAGCCAAGTGCTGAGGACTCGGGGAAGCTGCCGAATCTCCTCCTGGTTGCACATCTGCCGGAGCTGCCCTGAGTGAGAGGGTTGGGTGCACCAGTCTGGGGAGCGAGGGGAAACCCCCTGCCCAACAGGCAAGCTTCCAGGCCAACGCTCACCTGTTCCCCAGTCCAGAGAGGGCTTTGCTGAGAGAGAGCTGGACTGAGCGCGCTGAGGTGCAGAGGTTGGTAAGGAACCCCAGGATGCTGGAGGCACAGTCCCTTCCCCGGGGACACCCGCAGACTCCAGTTGAATCAGCAAGAGCTCATTTGGCAGCTGTGCCAGACACGCTCCCAGGCACTGGGTGTAAGTGGAGAACCAGGTTAGAGTTCACATGGAGTCGACCAATCAACGAATATCCAATAGTTCTGAGATCATTCAAGAAAAAAAGAAACCAACAGACATTTGAGACTGAATCAGTGCCAGAGAGGCCCATGAGCTAAGACCGAAACGACAAGGTGCCGCTGTGCGGGAAGAGCCAGTGCCCAGGCCCCAAGCAAGAATTTAACTGGCCTGTGGAAGGCCCCCAAAGGCCAGTGTAGCTAGCACAGAACGGAAAGGGGCGAGCATGCTGGGAGATGAGATGGGGAAAGCCTGGAAAGCAGGACACAGGGCAGGAGCCATCCCGAGGGAGGGGACTCGCAGGGTGATGCTAACAGTTTTTGAGCCTTTACTAAATGCCAGGGCCTCCTTAGGTTCTTTAAGTGTATTTGGCAATTTAATAGCTTCAAGGAACCCTAAGAGGAGGAGCTTTGATTGTCCTCACTTACAAACAAGGAAATGGAGGCCCAGAGAGGTTAAGCCACTGGTTCAAGGTCACACAGCAGCCTTTAAAGCTCACTGCTGTGTCCCACCCTAGGGGCTCAAGGGCTTAAGTCTCTCCACTGTGAAGCTGTGTGCAGCATGAGCTCCAGCCCCATCCCCTGGCCAGGGGGTAACCCACAAGGCGCAGCAGCAGACCTCTCTTGTCTCTCCGCTGTCCCCCTAAGTTGTGTATATCAGTCAGTTCTGCTCCTGTTCACCTGTTCTGCTCCCCACTGTCTCTGGTGAGTCCTCTCATTTCCGCACAGCTGGCCTGTACCCCAGCTTTTGTATTCATCAATTTAAAATTTTTTAACATTTTAAAAATAAATAAAGCTCACTGCGGCCCTCCCTGGTGGCTCAGCGGGTTAAAACACAGCACTGAGAATCTAAGGCCGCTTCCGCATGAGTTCAATTCCCGCCAGCCCCGGAGGTGACCACATGGTGTGGCAGACCTCTCCTGACCCGCCCGCTGCTCCCCTCAGCAGTGTACTTCGTCGATCTGCCTGTTCTGTTGCCCACTCTGTCTCTGGTGAAGCCTCTCACTGCCCCTGAGCCTCTGGCCTGTACCCCAGTTCTGTATGCACAAATAAATAAAAATCTTTAAAAAAAAAAAAAATAAAGCTCACTGCTTTATTTATTCATTGTCCCTACAGTGACTTGTAGGGACAATGATAAAGAACAAAGCTTGCATTTCCGTTAAGAAAGGGAGAGGAAAAAAATCAGACATCCACCCAGGATTTCTGCTTGAGCTCCAAGCACAGCAGGGTTACTAGAGTTCAAGGTTACACAGTCACTTCCTAGCTGCGGCTTTTTTCTGTTTCCCTCCTACACCCATGTGTGCTGGCGGTCTTTGCCCCTGTCATAATAGCTAGCATTTATTTATTAGCATTTAATGGTGTGCCATGTGCCAAGCCCAGCCTAATGTGCTGTGTCTGTTCAATTTATTCTTGCAAAAATCTTAAATCATCTCCATTTCAGGATGAGAGAATTGAGGTTCAGATAACGCAAATAAGACAACAAAGATTCAGAGCTTAAGTAAGAGGGCCAAGGTTTGGGCCTAAAACCTAAAAAGGCTAAGGATTGGGCCCTCCCTGGTGGCGCAGCAAGTTAAAGCACAGCACTAAGAAGCTAAAGCCACTTCAGCATGATTTCGATCCCCGGATCTCTGACCCCAGATCCCACATAGCACGGCAGACCTCTCCTGACCCACCCACTGCTCCCCTCAGCAGTGTACTTGTCAGTCTGCCTGTTGTGTTCCCCACTGTCTCTAGGGAATCCTCTCACCCTCCGCACCTCTGGCCTGTACCCCAGTTCTGTATGCATAAATAAATAAATCTTTAAAAATAAAAAAGCCTAGGATCTGAACCCTGGTCTTAGATTTTTGTGTTCACAACACAAGAATCTAAGCCCTTAACTAACTACTGAGCTATAAAATCCCACCACCCCATTCTGTGAACAGCTGAAGGGTCCCCCAGTAAGGTTACCTCTAGTTTCCTTGTAGAGAGGACTCATAAAAGTGTCACCCTCACCAATTGTTAAGATCCCATTCCTGACCTGGGAGCTGGGACCACAGTGTGTGTGTGTGTGTGTGTGTGTGTGTGTGTGTGTGTGTGTGTGTGTGTGTGTGTGTTGGTCATGGGGGGGGGCGGATGCAGAGAATACAGCTCCAGCAGTTCACCAGACCTTCACACTTCCAGGGGAAACACCAGATCTGCTCTGGAGTCTTCCCAGTGGCTGTGCTGCGTCCTCCCTGGCTGGAAGCACTTGCTTGGCCCTCAGTGGGGGTCTCTGGGTCCTTCCAGTCCCCAGGTAGTGATGCAGAGGCAGCTGGGGGTCCTGCAGCAAAACCTGGCAAAAAGAGGTCTGGAGATGAATGCGGAGGGAGGGAAGGAAAACTCGGGTTCTGGGTGCTGACTCTGTGGCTTGCCCTTCGCGGGCATGAGGCCCCAGAGGTAGCTCGACCATCATCAGATTTCGCTGGATGAGGAAACCGAGGCTCAGTGACCCAAGGTAAGAGACCTGCCCAGGGTCCTGCAGGAAGAGATGGGTACTTGGGATTTGAACCCAAGGCGCAGTGAGCAGGGGCTCTGGGACTGGGTAGACAAGGCCGACTCCTGTACTTCCCAACCTTCTGACGGCGCGGGTCCCCCCACTTGTCTTGTCACAGGCCTGGCTTGTCACGGGGCTCCATACAGCCCTCTCCACCCTCTGAGCTGCCAGCGTCCCGCCCCGTCCCCTCCCAACCGCGAAGGAGGAGGGGAGAGCGGGAGAAAGAAGGGGGGTCGGGAAGGCCGGCTTTATAAAAGCGGCTGAAGCCGCGGTGCCCGCCAGACCCCGCCGCCCGGACCCCTCCTGCTGCGCGCCGCCCCACGTGACCACGCTGAGCAACCAGTTCCACTGCCGAGTGAGTTGGGGCGCGTCCCCATCCACCCCTATACCTTCATCGAGCCGCGTGGTCTTCTGAGTCCCGAGTGGGAAAAGGATCCCATAAAAATAGGGAGCTGAGGTGGGGGGTACTAGGGGGATCCCGAAGGCAGGGATTTAGGACCCGGGGGCCCGAGGCTGAGCGGGCAGCCCTCTCTTCGCGGGCGCGGGACCTGGGAGACTGCAAGCCACCCCCCAGGAATGTGCGTGTAGCGGTCCCCATGGTAACGGGCTAGCCGCTTCTGCCTCTGGCTAAGAGGGGAGGTGTTGGAGAAGGGGGTGCTGGTCCCCTGGGGTTCAAACTTATCTCGCGGCGATTGCACGAGAAAACTGAGGATGCTCCCCCTCACCCCACGTGCCCCGAACCAGCTGGAAGCCAGAGAATAAGTCGCATCGCCTCTCTGAACCTCAGTTTTGCATCTG